AAGCACAAGTATCAAAATTTTTCTCTTTTTCTTGTGCTTGCGCTTATGCTTACGTTTGCCCTGCATCTGGTGAAAACGAAATACTGCTCGGGCATAACACAAGCACAAGGGTATTTACCACACATGGTTATGTTTGGCCAATGAAAACACTGGATCCAGATTACCTTGCACCTAAATGGTTTGGAAGGTTCGGTTGATTTAGCTTGTTCTTGTGTTTGCATCAAATTTTGTTTTCACTTGGGTCATCCCTATTGCTTGTATTTGTGCTCGCACTTGTGCTTGTGTCGCTAGTGGAAACGAGGCTTAAGTTACACTATAGATCTGAAGTTTCCCTCCACTTTTAATGTGAACACGGAAGCTGCTTTCTAGCATTACTTAATGAGAGGTGGAACACACATTGTTTAAACTTACTTTGATTGAGAGAATGGCAACAGACACCACTACCACAGTCATCATCAGAGTCCTCATGTCCACTTTGTCCACAGCTTCACCAAAAGGAAAGTTGGGCTATAAAAATGCACCAGCAGTTTAATACTCCAATCATTCTTTTATTTCAGCGAGACAATACAGTGGAACCCTGTTAATACAGTCACCAACGGGCTATGAAAATTTGGCCATATTAACAGGGTGGCCATATCAATGGGGTGGCCGTATTAATGGGGTAGGGTCAAACCTCATGACTGGTCTAAATTGAGTGACCTCTTAACAGATATATCACGAGCAACTAACAAGCAACTCTAAACAACTCTTCTTTACTAAGCATCTGGAATGCAGATGTATAATTTTGAAATAATTGAAACTTGAATAAGTGTATAAAATATTAATAATGGAAAGATGAACATAACTAGTTTGAGTGGCCGTATAAACTGGGTAAAATTATTACGGATGATACAGGTTGGAATTTCAGAATGTGGCGGCTGGCCATATTAATGGGGTGGCCGCATTACCAGGATTTCCTTGTGAGAAAATGTCTGGGCATTTCGCCGGGACAAAATAAAGTGGCCATAATAACGAGGTTACCATATTAACGAGGTGACCATAAGGCAGGGTTCCACTGCACAAGCAAAGTGGATAACTTCTCTGCAACTCCTAAGGCAGTCTACATTTCTCTTGCATCCTTAAATACTACAATGGTTGCAGAGGATAGCAAAACAAAGCAAAGGAGGAAAATGACTCTTAGGAGCTATGTAAAGCAGCAAATGTTGCATTTGAACCTAAGCTACTAATCCTACCTGAATCATCAGTTGAAAATACTAAAAATAATGTGCTTTACTCTTGATTTAAAGAATCACTGAAAAATATTGTTATCAGAATAAAAGCCCTGATTCTCCTCTCTTAAGTACCAGCACTGAAACTAAAAGTGCAGGAAGTCAAGTACCCAACATTAAAAAAACTTACATTGTTCTTTAGCATGAGCTTTAGCTCAGGGATATAACTGATTGCTCCAACGGCACCAAGGAGATTGACACAAAAATCAAAAACTTGTAAACAGAAGAAAGGTAGAAGATAACTGGGCTGACGCTGAAAGATAAAACAGGACAAGATCAACTGACACCAACACTTCTGTATGTACAGCTGTAGTGATGCATATCAAAAAGATGAGACGCATAATAGCAAAAACTCTTTCTTATATGATTCAGTTTTAATCTATCCTCATGATGCCCAAGGCTATAAGAATGTTGAAACATATTATCAGTTGTCTTGGTAACCAATTGAACATACTGACCAACATGCACATCTTTTTCCAATAGGTTCGAGCCAAACATCAGCTATGCATGTTTGTCTTGAGTACTAATTGAACTGCATTATAACAGCAAGATCTATTATATACCCCTCCTAATAATATAAGGCAGTAGCTTTTGTGATACCAATGCAATGGGAAACAGAATTCAAACTTACAGTGATAGCACCATAAATCAGCAGAATGGTGATCAGAAAGGAACAAAATGCTATAGCCAATGCAACTGAGTTGTCAGCTGAAAACAAAGGGTAAAAAATATTAGCACAACAATAAATAACTAACTACAGCCAACTCTCATTACAGAGACATCCTTGGGGACGTCATCAAGTGTCCGTAATAGCAAGAGTCCGTAATAGCAAGGTGTGAGATAAAAAGTGCCCTTGATATGCAACAAATAACATAGACAGTGTCTGTGAAGTTATCTTAAATCTTTAATGTATTAAAGAATTGATGCGAAAATAACCATTCCAGAAGTCTTTTGAAGTGTCTTTTGACAAATGATGACCAGCAGACTGTAATTTTACATAATTACGTTATGTGAGAAGTACATGGTGTCCGCTTTATCGATAGTCAAAACAATAAAATTGTCATTTTGGTACCACGAAAGTGTCCCTAAATCTGTAATAGCAAGAGTCCATAATAGCAGGAGTCATTTCCAGTCAAACCTCTATAGTTTTCGCCAGGGATCTGGATTTTGTCGGTAACAGCAGGGTGTCTGCAAGGCGAGAGTCAACTGTATTGGCAAAAGGGCTTGTTTTAACATTAGTAAAGAAGAACAATGATACACTTTTAAAAAGACCATTTGGACAAGATTACAGAACAGGACCAAACAAAATACGACACATAATTTTCTCTTGCCTCGTGAAACTTTTGGATTTTGAAAATTTTTTTTTTGTGGAACAACTTGCATAAAACTCATGAAAAAAATACTTTGCACATAATATAGCTGGTAAGTAAAGGAGCTCTAAATTATCCCTCTGTTTGTCAACAAATTCCACTTCTTAATCAGTAAGGCAAATATTTACTTCCTCCACGAATAATTTGGGTACATGTTCATTTATTGAAACAGGAGCATACATTTCTTCCAAGAACTAAAAAGTAAAAGTGCCCTTCAAGGCTGAGACGCATTTGCACATAATTTGTAACACAGCACAATCCAAAAAGAGAAGTACAAGGAAAGTAGTGTTGATGCTATGTTCCTCCTCTAACCAAACAATCACAGAGATCATGAATGACATAGAAACAGACTAAACAAAAGCAAGATACATTGTAATGCTGGACCATTAGGTATTCTGGGCAGGTGTCATTTACCAGATAAGCTACATTAACAGGATAGATGGATGCCTACTACCTGTGTTAAGGTTACTTTAGACCTTCAGGGAATAATTAATACTTTCTTTGCAGGTTTTAAAGCAAACCTCAATAAACTATGTATCATGAAATAGGAGTCTGTGGATGAGATTGACACAAAATTTTTACTGCTCAACTCAGTGGTTGACACATTCTAACTGGCTTATCACAGTTTGTGGATCATTGAACTGTTCTGAAAAATCATGTTTTTGAGGATAACTCATTTATGTTTCAATTTTCTTGAAATATTTTTCTAGAAAATTCTGATTAGGTTCTTGAATTTGGTGTAAAAAAATGTTTTGGAAGAAATCGGGCATTGAAGGTCTATAGTAACCTTAACTACTGCACAACAGAGCTCAAAGATGTACCTGATCGAGGGGTTGTGCCATAAGTTTCAAAATACCTCTCTTCATACAATTCTGGATGTAGAAGCATCTGAGTTAACACTACTACTCCAGCAATGTGGATCAACTAAATAAAAACAACACAATCAATGAGTTTTGCTACTCTGAGTATACATTATTGGTGTGATGTTCTAATTGGGCGCAAACATGATACCTTTGGTTGAAAAACAACTGAAGTTTTACAGCCATTAAGCAAACATTCCTGCTGAAGCTTGACTTCACTTGAAGTTTATTAACAAACATGCACGCAACTTTAAAACTCGCCTTCTTAAATGTAAGGATTTAAGAAATAGCAGGAGTCATGGGACTCTTGGGATTGTGCACAAGTAGGATTATCTTATAAACATAGAATACAGTCTTGAAAACCTTTGTGTCTTTCGTTCTTTGCCATGGCTCAGTGAAATTTTACGGACACTATTTGACGACAAGATTTTTCCTTTTGGTTTAGTCAATACACATAGCAATGAAACATAGTACAAATGAGCAAAAAACTCATACAATATGACATATAAGCTTAAACAGTAACAAATTTGGTGGAACCCAGTTTTACCTCCAAATTAACTTTAGTAATCTACTTAATGGGTGATGTAAGCTTAGCAATCGTATCTTTTTATTGACGGCACAAGGTATACGTATAACTTGATAAAAAGAAATTTTAGCTTATTATTGAACAGTTCTAAATCTGACGGGCAATTCAGGTGAACTAAGATTAAGGTGATTCCCTAATATTGCACTGCACATCCCTACTGCACACGATTTTTGCGTCATTAGCACGCGCACATGAGCGCGTGTGCACACAAAACGTAAGAGATTTCCCTCAAACTAAGTTTGATAGTAAAATAAATGCTCGTTTGCTCTTAAACGAGCACGGTGACCCCTACTTTTTATATCATAAATTCAATGATAACAATATCCTCAATAACTGAGAAAAACATTGGCGGAAATCTATGGCTACTTTTTTGGCAAATGAAATAAATACTACAGAGGGAGACATAACGGGCCCAACAGCACATGTCCAAATTATGTTTCCTATAAAGACTAAAAAAATGCAGGGTATTTGAAGACATTTTTTCTGAGACTTAGATGAATAAACAATCGAAGAAAGTCAAACTCTGTGTGATATAACACGCTGCATTTAAAAATAATCGAGCTTATTTGTTGCACACGGAGATTACCAAAAGTCCCCTAAATAACCGTATTTGTCAGCATTTTGGCGTGAAAACAAGCACGGTGACCCCCTCTTTTTACTACGTTTTTAATATCTCCTTGTCCTGTAACAACAGCACACCAAGTTTCATCGAAAATCTATGGCGGGTTCTTTTACTAGGGAATCACCTTAAGCTTCTATCTGACGCTAATTTATAGATTATATGAACACAAATTCCAAGAAAAAACAAAACAGCCAAAGAAATCACCAATACTAGTTTCTAAATCACCCATATTTAGCTTGCTCTCATCACAAAAAACAGCACTGATGTGGTACGGATGTTGAACCGAAGAAGAAAGAGAAAGCGAAATTTGACCTACCAGATGGCAAAATCCAAGCACAATAGTGCCGAGCCTCACGTCCATACAACAACAGCATGTCTTCATAACCGAACTGTCGCCATCTACATTGTCAGATACTCTTCTTGGCTTCATTTCTATCCAAATTCAAAGCTCAAATACGCGAAAAACTCCCAAAACCAGCAATATTTGTTAGTCAAATGGCGAAAGACGTATCAAACAACAGTGGGGAAGAGCTTCATGGGAACTATGATGTCATAACCTATAGAGAGGCATTATGGGATTATTGCAAAAATCCCCAGCCCCAGTCGGTCTATCTTTGAAACGTTCTCACCACGCGAGACGAAACAAGAGATGGACACAGAGCGACCATTTACAGTTGCTTTTTCGTTTGGCGTTGTTTGGATCGTTTTACCTTATCTTGGGGATTTTGTGGTGCTTCCAGTGTGGAATAACCTGAACATCGGAGTGTGCTTTTTGGCCATTGTCTTGTGTGTTTCGGTGTACTTCACTGAATATCTGGCAATATTTCCTATCAGTTACAGGTGGACTAATGTTGTTCTTCACACTGATCTAGTTAAAAGTGTTTGATCTGTGCCAGTTTTGATGCTTTTAAACAATGAATTGGGATGTTTCTTTACACCGAGTTATATTATATTCTTCACGCCGAGCTATATTCAGTCTAACGGGAGTGATACTCAGGTCAGCCGCAGTGCAGACTTCCACTGCGATTAACCTGCAGAATAATTAATCCCCTTTAATTTACGGTCAGCACGCGATAATGGAAATAATACGATATACGGTATTTTCTCGATTAAACGGCGGGTCTCCCACGTAGATTCGTAAATATGGCCCTCAAAGAATTTATTTTAGATATTTTAAAGCTCTAAAAATAATGAATAAAAACTCTAATAAACTCCAGGCTCGAATAAACTGCAAAAGTCAATAAATGCCTGATCCGCGAGTCAGGTTTAAAATAAACATCAGGGGCGTTTAATCGAGAAAATATAGTATGCTTAAAAGGTCTGTAGTCTGCAGTCTGCATTTTATCCCTGGTCTACAGTCTGTATTTTACCCTCTCCCTGGGGGAGGGGGGAGGGCAGCATACTTGGGTATCATTTGGGTGGGTATGTGCCACCCGGGCTTCCAAATTTGGACCCTGTTTAAAAGAATTTGCATTCAAAATGATACCCCATTCTAGAAATAGGTTGATTTTTAATACCACGTCCTATAGCTTTAGTAAATTTCAATAGCCCATTGTTGTGAAAAGTTCACTACCTTACGATAGCATACCACATGCAACACAGGGTGCAATGATTTGATTTGTTCATTAAGGTATTTATCAGGCAAAATCTTTAAGAATAATTTTAAATGACTGCTGATAATCTGATGAGCTTTCGAACATTCAAAATATTATACCCTGTTCTAGGAAACGTCTTTCGAAAAAGGATACCCTGTTCTAGATCTGGAGTCCCAAAATCACGGCCCCGTTGGGTGGCACATACCTGTATAGGTATTGTGGGGGAGTACCCCCTGGGATTTAACCCTCGGTCTGCATGTTACCTGGGTCTGCAGTTCACAGTCTGCAGTCCAGTCTTCATTTTACACTGATGGCAAATTAATGTGAAAGGTGGGGAAAGAAACGTCAGTCCATTAAGTATCGAAAAAGCCCCACCCTATATAAAACAGGTAAAAAACACTGGAAAATTATGTTCTTGCAAACCCTATATAATGTTTATTAGGTTTCACTGAGTTTTACAATCGATTGTGAAAAAATATAAAAATCTTTCTTAAAATAGACAATATCTGATTAGATGGCAGTCTAAAGTGTCAAATAAATGCTAATGAAATCAAATGAAAACTGACCTTTCCCTAAAGCATGAGCCATTAGAGAGAGACCTGGTAACTGCATCTGAATTGTAACACTGGAGTCCCTTCGCACGATCAAAAGCCTGACGGGAGGGATCATGCTAGGAATCAAGAACGCCTCTTGCCTGCATTCCACCCCCCCCCCCCCCTACAGGATTAACATTGATAGGTGCATTAAGTCTGAAGCATCCTTGGCATATGTAGTATCTGTAGCTAGTGTTTGTAGTAAACTCAGTCTGTGTGAAAGATGCATAACCCGAAACACTGTAATCTTGTATGTATAATTACTGATTTTTTCATACAAGATGTAGTGTCTGTATGTCAGCAAAACAAACCAAAAGCAAACCACTTAACAATATTCCTGTCCTCCAAACCTCAAGAGCTTAGGAATCTGCCATGCTTGACACCACCTCCACACCTTGTGGGTTCCTCCCACAGAAAGAAAGAACCCTTATCAAAGAAAGAAGTTAAAATGAATGTAGATTTGCCACTGCTTTTAATGTCCACTGTTCGACTCAGTCTTGGTCCATAAACATGCAAAAAAAAGAACTTGGCCAATATCCAGCCATCTTGACCTCACACTTGGTCAACCCATACATATTTTGAGTCCCAAATTAAGCTATATTAAACAAATTAAGGTCATTCCTCACATTTGCATTGCGCATCCTTACTGCGCATAATTTATGCTGTCATTAGCGCGGGCTCGTGCACGCACACATTGAAAACATGATGGATTTGCCTTGATATTGAGCTCTGTGAGTTGAAAAATGGCTCTAGCTCACCAACGAGCACGGGCACCCCAATTTTTTT